CCCCCAGATCTACTTCTCCTCCATTTCTTCTTCAAAAAGAACAGACCTCCAAAAGACAACAGTCAAACAGAAAAACCAAGGTGCAGTAAGGTAAGGTGAAAGCCCTCATATTGAGGCTGGACAAGACAGCCTAATAGGGGGAAGAATCCTAAGAGCAGGCGAAAGAGTCAGAGATACACCGGTTCCCACTGTTAGGAGCTCCACACACACAAACATACCATGCTAATAGTCTTAACACATGCACAAAGGATCTAGTCCAGACCCATTCAGTTTCTGCTCTTGCTGCTTCAGTCTCTGTGAGCCAGCATGAGTCCTTCTCAGCTGACTCAATGTGGAGACATCTCTTTAAGAACCAGCAAGTTCTAACACGAGGTTCATTAAGGATCAGAAAGTAAATTACTCCTAAGATTCAGGGAGTCCCTGATATGGACTAGATGCACAAGGTCCTCAAGATTATAATTCCATAAGAACTTAAACCAATCAAGGTGCCTGGAAAAGATTCTAAGCTATGAAGGTGCTTAAAATCATGGAGAACAGTCCAGGTTCCAGATTCATTAATTGTTTTTCATGCTGAGGTATTTGGTTTTGATCATATGACCACTCTTGAGTCACACATTTTACTGTGACACAGAAACACACTTGCTTGTGAGTACTCCCAGGAAACTCATTGTTTCAACAACTGGACTTTCGAGGTGTGAGCTACATTAGTATGCTAACCATTCCCAATCTGGAGAGAGTAGACCCTTATTAATATTTTCCCAGGAATATAGTCACATAACACATTATTATTTTTATTTTTCCTTGTAGATTATTTCTATAAATCAAGCAGAAGTTAAAACAAAGTACATTTCTATCAAGCAAATTTAAGCACTTTAAAATAATACTCTATAGGATACATGGGCATAAAAATACTTAGCACACTACTGATTCTGCATGTAAGCAATTATTATATATATTTCTTTTTTTTTTTTACAACTTGGGGACGGTGGTGTCCCTCATGAGGATAAGCTTTATTTACACAGGTCTTCAGAGTAAGAGGTCCTCTCTATTTACAGAGATCGTCAACAGTCCAGAGTCCCCGCTCCGTGTGAAATGTTACCAGACCGATTAGATTTACAGAAAAACAAAAAACAAAAGCACAACTATATATTCTAACACAGTGGTTAACTTTACAGTTTTTTTAGAGGATAATTTACAAAGATTTTTACTGAAAAAATTCAGGCAAGTTTGTTTCCTAAGGTAGATTTCCGTGGCGATTCAAAAGTATAGCAGATGGACAGCTTTAGTGTTTTTGGTTTGTGAGTAGCTGTACATCAATTTCCTTCTGCCTTTTTGTTAAATGTCTTGGATGATGAAGAATCTTGACTTTCACCACAATTATAGCGTTCATAGAGAGTTTTGGCAGTTTTCAAAATGGAGTTAGGAGAATTCAGACCAACAAGTTGACTCAGAACATATTTCATTTCATCATTGGTTTTCCTAGCCACTTGGCTGCCTGAATGGGGTTGAATCTGAACATAAGGATGTGCGAGCAGCTCAGGGATGGATATCCTCTCTTTAGGGTCCCTTACTAAACAGCGCTTTAGCACGTCTTGAAGATCTTTTTCTGGAATATCAGGAAATTCAATCTCATGATTAGGGTCAATTATGGCATGTAGTTTAGAGAGCTGATTAATGATATGCTGGAATGGGGTTTTCCCGTAAGTCATATAGTACAAAATGCACCCCAAGGACCAAACATCACTTCTGGGGCTTATCTTGGTCTTGACTTTCCCATGTTCTCTTGAAGAAGACATGTCTCTGATTGCTTCTGGAGGCATGTAATTAACTGTACCAACCTGAGAATCTTTAACTATGCTTGTTGTATCTGGCTGCATTTGGTTTGCAATCCCAAAATCAATTAGCTTCAGCATTCCTTCAACTATTAGAAAATTAGCAGGCTTCAGATCACTATGAACAATGCCATGCTGATGGATTGTGTGTACTGCTTCCAACATATTTTTCCAGTAGCTCTTGCGTTCCCATGGATTGATGGATTTTTTCTTTTTAAGCCAACTATTCAGGTCAATGTTTCCACATTCCATTACCAAGTAGATGTATCGCTCTGTGATTTCATAATCATAGAGGCGGATGATCTTATCACTGTGTTGCTGTAGTTTGTTCAAATAAGCTATCTCATTCCGGTAACTGTCAATAGTTTCCTTATCTGCATCTTCTAGGTTCACATATTTGATAGCATATATATGCTTCTTTTCACTCAATACCTGAAATACCTTACTGGAACCTCCACCGCCTATCTGTTTTAGTATGGAATAAATTCTCCCTTTAACAGAAATGCATTCATTTACTGTTGAGGATCCTGAAACCTGTAAGTTTTGAAGAGGGGTACTCAGTCCTTGCTGCTGTTGGTGCTGCTGCTGCTGCTGCTGCTGCAGGCAGGCAGGCTGGCTGTAAGGTGTCGATAATGGGCAGGCAGGCAGAAAGTTCTTCTTCACAACTGGAGTCCTAAAACAGCTCATGTAATCATCCGTGGAATTACTACTGGGTGTCACACAGACAGACTTTGGATCAATCCATTTAGGAACTGACATCGGAGGCGACTGCTTTGAAACTGGTAAGGCAAGCTGCTCAACAGTGGGACACTTCTCTTTCTGAGTCTTAGGGGTAACATCCGGAATGTGCCACTGGTTCTGGCTCACACTCTCAGACTTTCTTGTGGACTGCCATGGTTTGTGCTTTCTTTCTGCAATCTCTGATTCTTGACGTACTTTAGTTTCTTCCAATTTTGTTAGGAGACTTGATTCAGTTTTACTCTTCAAGATTACTAAATCAGAAATAAGCTCAGAACTTTTTTCACCGGACACCAGAGAGTCTTTGAAATGGACACTTTGAATGGGCTTTAAAGTTCTCAATTCACAGGAATCATTTCCACTTGGTTTGGATCCAGGAATAATTGATTCTCAGGAATCTGATCCGGATATCTTTCTTTTTGAAAAATTTGGCACAGCTGAACCATCTGTCTTCACATGATAATCTGGGCTATTCAGAAGGTTAACCGGGACTCTTCCAAAGGGACATGACGGTTTAGCTTTGTTAGTTTGTTTTAAGGGATTTCGATGACTTATTTCTGCATCTTGTGGAGGTATGTTCTCTCCATATAAAATCCTGGCTATAGCAGGCTGTCCTCTGGAATCACAACTCATGTTCCTATTCTGTAGATTTCCAAGGGAACTAGAGAATGATTCTTGGGCAGTTAGTACTGTAGATGCTGACAAACTCTTCTTGTCCTCCTCTGACAGTAGCTGCTTTTTCTGGAGGTGTAAGTTGCGCATGGCGATCTCCAGCATCTGCAGCGGCACTGCTCCGCTTTCTATAGCTTTATGAAGAAGCTGTTCGCTTTTTTTAAGATTGCCTTGAGACAGTTCAAACTGTGCAAAAGACACATGCACAAAAGCAAACTTCTTGCAGTTTTCTCTGGCCATTTGAAAGTAGTCATGAGCATCATCAGGTTCTTGAATAGCTTTTAATTCGGCAAGTCTGACTTGGATACGAGCAAAGCTCTCGTTCTGGCCATATTTATCTGGAGGAAGGGCTTCAATTGCTTGACTATAGCGACCGATCAACTTATTTAAAAAAGCATCATTTAGGGGGACACTGTTCTTCTCTAGTTTCAGCAAGAAATTCAACCAGTTCTCTGGGGTGTTCGCCATCATCATAATTTGGTTAACCGTTTCTGTAGGATCAGCACAGATTTTATTCGAGCTCAGCTCATCAGTAAGGTCTTCCTTTATCTTATTTTTAATATCTCTTACTTTGGTCATTATGGAATCAATTGTCAACTTCCTGCCATCTAATTCTTCAGCCTCCATTTCTAAATTGTAATTCATCTCGGGAGGCCGAGCAAAGACGCAAACTGCCGAGCCCCAACTCCTCTCCGGAGCCACGTTTGAATTTCCCCCTATATATATTTCTATTCAGAACTTAGGATAATTGAAAACCTTTGCCTCTATGTGTGGTTGTGGTTTCTATCTATCCTCCAGTTTCTTTTTCTATGATAATCTTTTCTCTGTGTTACATATTCTTTTCATTCTACTTGGTTTTTAAATGTGAATGAAATCCATTTTTAATATTTATTTAATTAATTTCAAATAAGAAAAGAAGCATTTGTTATTAGTAGATATAGCTTAGTGTTTAAGGTCCTTGGTTCAAACCTGACTAAGGGAGGGAGTGGAGAGAAGAGAGGGAGAGGAGAGGAGGGAGGGAGAGAGGTTTCTTGTGATATAACAAAATACAGAAACTCCTGATTACCTGTACCCATGGCATTGTTTCTTTGCTACTCTGGTGTCCTATATCTGTTTTTCCTTTTCTACTTGGCATCCTGGGCATTTTCTAAATTGTTTTCTTGACTTTCTGATAATATTGTTTCAATAGGAAGTCAATTCTTGATCAACATTTAGAAGAAATAAAAGATAATTTTCAGATGTACTACTACTGAAAATAATATGTAAATATGGAAGGACAGTACTTCCTTTATACAGGACAATCTTACCTTCTGCTGTTCATAGGTGCATGTTTCCCTATTTTATATTCAGTAAATTCAAGGGCGGAAATAAATTTTGCATCAGAAATTGTAGTAGCTATTTTCTCTTTCTTTTGACTTTTTTGTTTTGTTTTTTTTTATATTGATATTTATTGAGCTTTACATTTTTCTCTGCTCCCCTCACTGCCTCTCCCCTCCCCCTTCAATCCTCACCCCAAGGTCGCCATGCTTCCAATTTACTCAGGAGACCTTGTCTTTTTATACTTTCTATTTCCCATGTAGATTATATCTATGTAAGTCTCTCCTAGTGTCCACATTGTTGTCTATGTTCTTTGGGATTGTGGTTTGTAAGCTGGTTTTATTTGCTTTATGTTTAAAAACCACTTATGAGTGAATACATGGGTAATTGTCTTTCTGGGTCTGGGTTACCTCACTCAAATTAATGCTTTCTAGTTCCATCCATTTTCCTGCAAAATTCAAGCTGTCATTATTTTTTTCTGCTGTGTAGTACTTTATTGTGTAAATGTACCTCATTTTTCTTATCCAATCTTCGATCAAGGGGCATTTAGGTTCTTTCCAGGTTCTGGCTATGACAAACAAAGCTGCTATGAACATAGTTGAACACATGTCTTTGTGGCACGATTGAGCATCCTCTGGATATATAACCAAAAGTGGTATTACTGGGTCTTGAGGAAGGTTGTTTCCTAATTTTCTTTTTTTTTTTTGTTTCCTAATTTTCTGAGAAATTGCCACACACTGATATCCAAAGGAGTTGTACCAGTTTTGCTTTTTAAATTTATTCTTTGTAAATTTTTCATATATATATATGATATATGTATGAAATATATTGATTATATCCATTCCCCACTCTCCTTTTCAAACAACTACTACCCATCCCAACACACCCGCATCTCAGTTTCCCATTCTTTAAGTAAATGTAGCCCACTAAGTCAAGTTGGTAGGCTAGCCACTGGGGAAATAGAAAAAAAGGCAATGGCCATATTCCCAAATATCAAAAGAAAAGTAACAGCAAAATGAATTCTGCACTGGCCAACACATTTCCTCTTTACTGGGTAGCTTTAATGGTGTTAGGAGGCAGGATACAAGTTCCTCTGGGGGTCATCATCATCATCATCATCATTGTCCTTATTGCTAAACTCTACATGCTGAAATACCAACCTGCCAGATAAGATGAGCACACTGGTGAAATAGTAGCATGACAGTTATTGGGGCATCCCATCACTTTCTGTCTGGCTCCTTGGCCTGTTCCACAGGAGGAAATTCATGTCTGGTACTTGAAACCTGGTCAAATTTCTGTAAATTTGAGTTCATGGGTGCTAGTGAGAGACTTTTTAAAATTGTTTTGCTAAATGGTCATGTGCTAAATACATAGATTTGTGCTGCTTTTTAACCTTGGTCAAAGGCTAAAAAGTTTTGCTGTGGAAAGTAGTTAATGCAGAGACATATTACTCCTTAAAATATTGAGAGTAAATAGTTGGGATAGTTTTAATTATTCGTCTATAGGATTGTTTCAATAAAGCACAGTGCAAAATATTTGACTTACTTGATTAGTTTCTATCAAACTAATGTAGTTTAAATAACATATATATATATATATTATTTTTAAGAAAATAAAATAAGTAATAGAGCATTGAAACACTCTAATGCAAATAAAATGGAATTCTTAGCAGGAGATATACAAGACTTCACAGAAATACGTTCTGTTCTCCTCAATCTAGGCACATTTACTAAGCACATATCGTGTTCCAGAGAGAACACTTACATGCTATGCCTAGATTATAAAAGTGAGTAACACTTATCTTTTATCTCACATAAATAAGAAGTAGAATCTGAAGAGACAAAATAATGGTTTAATAACTGTAATAGCAAATATATACCTAAGAAGTGGTCTATGGGTAGAGGAGAGTGGGTGTTAACAAGGGTGACATTGAAGTTGTCTGTCAAGGATTAACATATTTTTACAGATATAGAAGACAGCTCTAAGACAGTTCAGGGAGAAAGGCTCACATGCTCAAAGTGTTAGGAGTATCCTAAACTTAAAATATTTCCCAGAAAATATAAGTTGTTTACTCTAACTTAACTTTAGGATTAAAAGGGGAGGTCAGATAGAATCAAAAACAAAATCATTAAGTGAAGTAAGGCACAAAGGACCATACTAGAGAGAGAATGGGCATTTCCTGTCTGTCAGGTGAAAGAGAGGAATTGAGCTCTTGAAGATTTACATGAACGGAATGGTAATGTGGAAAAGGAACACATATGGAGAAAACATAGAATTGAAAATCCTGAGAACTATGACACACAACACAGTACAGACCTGTGACAGAATAGTAATTGAACTGTGTGCCAATTCCCAGGCTCAACAGAAAAAAAATGAAACAGAGACTAGCCAGTGTCCACCATCTGGGCTGCAGTGATCATCAGATCACACTGATAGACCTATCTAGACAGCTGTTTTTCTATACCTGGAGGGTGAATACAAGGTGCAGGACAACCTTGAGGTGTAAATTCTCAGAGCCCCTGACCCTGTAATAGCCTTGGTAAAATGTTTCAGCAGAGAAGCAGCATTCATTGCCAGAAGAAAATCACCTTACACTTTAACAAAGGGCAATGAGTTACTCATGCTATTGGGGAGAACTTTTGGGGCCATTTATCCTCTCTGCCCACTCCACGTGTCTTATTCCAATCAAAGTCTGTTCCTCACAAACATGCTTTATATTGGCCATGGGCATGAACGCTTAGACAGAACTCCCGAGAAAATGGCATTTTATGTCTTTCTTTATTCTTCACTGAACAGCAAAAAAATATTGTACGTAGTTGCTACCATCGAGGCTGTCACAGCATCTTGGCTACAAAAACAAAGTACTTTCCTATATTGTCCTTTTCAGCGCAAATAGAAACAGCACCTTATTTTGTTGGTTGAGCTATACCCATAGCTTGTCAGTTTTGTATCAAAAGAAAAATACCCCTTTCGTTGCATGAGATGATCAAGAGAGCTAAACAGACAGCACACTTCATTTTCCAGTGACTGGAATAATCCGGAGAGAGTTATGCAGCAAATCAAATGTTTTACTCTTGTGTGGTGCACTGCAGCCTATGGTTCTCGCATTCCTTTGTATTTTCCTCACAATACATCCCAACTGAAATGCATTCTTTCTTTATATAGTTTTCAAGCCACAGACTATGGGTTTGATTTTGTTTTAAACTCCGTAGCTAAACTTAAGTGAAGGGGAAATGGTCACTTGTTGGGAAACTAAGAGGCTCAAACGAAGGTACACCACACTCAAGTATCTTCTTTTCCAAATAAAGAGGTAAATTATAGGAGAATGCTCTGTTATTATTTGATGTTTTGCTTTTAAGCTCCTTCAGGAAATGTCCAAATAGAAGATTTCCACCTTAAATGTCACTCTCTTTCAAAATACAAAATGCCTCTTGTGTACATGTAGATGTAAAACAAAACTAACTTTTTTCTCTCTATCTAGCTTATAAGAACACCACCACCCCCGTATTGCTATTTGTAATGCTGAAAAGCAACAGACAAAGAAAAGAGAAAAATGATCTGTAGTTCAGGTTTCTTAGCTTTACTCTGGAGAACTAATTAATAGATGTTTTCACTGGTCTCAATAAAGCACTGTGTGTTAAATCTCTTAATACAGAGCAATTTCTGGGTCTAGAGAATGTGTGCTCAAATATGTGGCGTTTCTCAACATTAAGCACTTCCCAGAAGTACTCTTAATGTAGTCACCTACTCAACATGATTTTACCCAATATTTACTGCCTGTTGCATATACCGAAGCCCTGAATGCTCAAATACATAGTGCTTTCCCTGATCTTCTGGGGAAGTATTTCTGTTTTAGGGCACAACAGCATGAAAATGTGTGTGTAAAATAGGTTTATTTGCACATTGTCTAGGTCTCAAATGTTTTGGGCATATTTTCTGCATATTTCTTTAGAAAGTAATAATAATGGCTTCATATAAATCATGCTACTTGCATTATTCAAATGATTCTAACCACATTAGTGTGGACAGATTAAAGTCATATACTTTCAACATAAATAGTGTCAGGAATATGTGGGGAAGACAGGTGAATTTTCCCAAATGTCATTTTCAGCAGCCTGCAAAATTGCTAAAATGTAGGCAATGAGAAAGGGCAATGCGAGATAGAGCACAGAGGTTTTTGTTGTTTGTGTGGGGTTTTTTTGTTGTTGTTGTTGTATTTTTCTTTGATCCCTTTTATTTCTGCTTTCCAACAAAAAACTCAAAAACCCAGAGCGTTAATCTCTTACTTTGTCAGTATGGTTGACAAGAACAATTTATCCAAATGGGCACTAAAAAGAGGACAACTTGTCTTTTGGCAGAGCTAGAGGAGAACTCCTTCAGATGGAACCTTCTC